TGATGTCAAAATTATGAGAAGGATTAAGACAAGAGAACAGTATGAGGCTACAAGATGACATGGACAAACTGAAGGAATTTTCCAACAAATGTATATTAGAATTTAACTCGAGCAAATGTAATAAAAATAGGTATAGGGAGCAGGAAGCCAGATACAAGGTGCCATTTAGATGATGAAATCCTTCAAGAATCAGGGAAAGAGAAAGACCTGGGGAGGTATTAATATCATGCCAGACCTGTACCCTGAAGCCCACATCAAGAGGATATCATTAGGGGCATATGCTAAGTTGTCCAACATAAGAACTTCCTTTAGGAACTTGTGTAAGGAATCATTTAGAACCTTGTATATCACATATGTCAGATCAATCCTGGAGTATGCAGCTCCAGCTTGGAGTCCGTATCTAGTCAAGCACAAGACTAAATTGGAGAAGGTTCAAAAATATGCCACCAGACTAGTACCAGAGCTGAGAGGAATGAGCTATGAGAAGAGACTATGGGGAACTAAACCTCACATTCCTGGAAGAAAGAAGATAATCATGACATACGAGAATCTCAGAGGAATTGATAGGGTAGATAAAGACGGATTATTTAACACAAGTGGTACACACATACAAGGGGACACAGGTGGAAACCGAGTACCCAAATGAGTCATAGACATGTTAGAAAGAACTTTTTTAGTGTCAGAGTAGTTAAAAATGGAATGCACTAGGCAGTGATGTGGTGAAGGCTGACTCCATTCACAGTTTCAAATGTAGATATGATAAAAGGTAAATAGGCTTATGAATCTGTACACAAATTGATTGACGGTTGAAAGTCTGTACCAAAGAGCCGAAGCTCAACCCCCACAAGTAATTAGGCGAGTATAATTAGGTGAGTACATACACACACAATTTCTAAAATTGTAAAATTTACTGATTAATTTATAATTGGAATAGTACTGCTGAGTACAGTAAGTCTATTCAAATGTAAGTCAAGTGGTAGTGAATGTAATGGGCCATTTGCTGAATGTGAACTACTGTAGTGTCATTCACTTGAGCAAGTGTGCAATGTTACCTGTTACTGTTTCCTACATGGTCAATGAAAGTCATGAACAGTATGATAAATTGTTTATGAACATAATTTTTCACTTTAAAACTATTTAATTTGATCACAAATACTACAGTTTTCTGTTTAAAAAAAATAAAGCATTATATGTAATGAAACACCTCTTTCTGGTGGATCTTGAATGGCTCCTTGTTACTACCAACCTGAATGGTTCTACCTAACTCAAGTCATGCCAGACCCTTGCGAGTTATTATAAGCCTACCAGTCCAAAACCTGGCCCCCTCTATAGACACACAAGAGTAAAGGATACTAGATCACTCTAATCAAGAAAAAGCCCCCAGAAAGGTGAATGAGACAAAATCCATCAGCAAGATAAACAGAACATAGAAAACGAGACATGAAACACCAAACTGGATGAACCACCTGATCATGAAGCAATTCACCTGTTAATTACACCTGCGCACCTACCTTTTGGATCCCTCAGTTAGATACCTCAGTCATCTAGGTAGGAGGAAGAAAACTAAAGCCCCTGAAAGCAGAAGGGAGGGTCCAGGGACCCACCAGAATGAGGCACTGCATTACATTCAATACTAGTTTTCTGGGAAGGTTCTACAGTGGCTCCATGCTGCTTTGTCACCATCGAGAATGAAACAAAAAGAACATACCAAGGGTGGAGGAAATCTGCAGACAGGATAACACCAAAAGGCCCCTTCTGGAAACCAGCCGTCACTTTTAAAGCCAGAAAGGAAGAAGGCTGTAAATGAAGAAAATGGCCCCCAGGACCAAGACAAAAACCTTACTGCCAAAGGAGAGCATGAAGCTCCCCAACCTGACAACCAGACATGAGGGTTAGCAAAAACAGAGCCTTTAAGAAGCAATCCTGGACCAAATTGGTAACAAAAATCTGAGGGGAGGAGAGAAAAACCAAAACCTTGGTCAAAGACCTAGAAGACTCAAGAGCAGCAAGAGCAGGCCAGAGGAGAAAATAATGTCCCAGAAAACTTGCAAAACATTGACACTGAATGCCAATACAGCAACTCTACCAAAGCCAAATGTATAAGACAACAGTATTCTACAAATAACCAAGACCGAAATGAAAGGATAACAGGCACAAAACTGAGGACAAGCGACAAAGAGAGAAAAAGATGAAAGAAGAACAAATCTCATACTGTCACTATGACGAAAGCCGAGGTGAGACATTAAAAGATTGGCCACCTGTGTACCATATAATGAGTGGTACATGTGAGTCAATAACACCAAATGTGTAGATTGGCAGAGTCTCAAACCATCGAGGAACATCTTTGGCCCAATTTGCTGAAAGAGGTGGAACTACAGAAAATTCAGACAAACTGCAGGAAACCCACAGCTGGGCTGGCCATAGGAAACCCAGCAGGAGAACCCTGCCGGAGAATGTCTCCAGTTCAGACTGAAGCCAAAGCGACCACCAAACCAGAGAGAAGAGATAAAGAAACCCCTCGTTGACCCCAGTTCAGCCAAAAGCCATACATTGTAAGAGCCTTTCTATCGGGGAATGAGGCCACGAACTGGTAGCCATCAGTTCCAGGCTAACATGAAGTCCACTTTGGATCAACTGAACATCTTACTCACCAATAGTCCAGAGACAATAGACATGCCCTGAATGTGAACTGCCAGAGCCAAACCCCAAGAATTCAAAAAACAAGTTACCCACAAAGTAAAGCCTTACGAAGGAAGAGATTGAAGCAACCTTCCCCTCAACCCATACATAAATGAACCACCAGGGAACAGACCCCCACTAGGAACAAAGCAAGCATTGGGTGTTCTGGACTATCATGAATTCGCACACAGTACTGTGCACCTGATGTAATGTACCCAACCAACAGCCCTCAGTAGTCAGGTGAGTTTTGCTCACAAATCCCCCAACCCAAGACTGAGGCATCCATGAAGAGGTCAATCACAGGGGGAAGGGAGGGAGGCACCATGCGATAAAATCCTGAAAATCCTGAAATGTCAAAGACCCTTGCATTTCTAAGGGTAAGACTCACTCCATAGGAGGATGTCCTCTCAGAGGTGGCCACCCATGACCCCTAAGGAAGGAAACCCTAGGTGGGCAGTAGCAACACCAGTAAGCACCTAGAAATAGTAACTCTAGGCACAAGCAGCCCGAGGTGAACAGTTAGTCAGTCCACACAAGAAGTGAGGCATGGAAATATTGTACGTGCATGTGCAGCAAATACTAAAATACAGAACAGCAAACAGTACAAGTAAATGGTAGGACAAAGTCAAGGATAACCATCACTTATCTGAAAAACTGGGACTCGACGAGATTATTGCGAGTGAGGAGCGTTGTCACAACCTGTAGACAAAGTGCCAGGCAAAATGACTGAGGTGTCTAGTTGGGGGAATTGAGAAGGTAGGTGCAGAGGTGTAATTAACAAATTAACTGCTTTACAACTGGGTGGTTCACCTGAATCCAAGTCTTTTATTTCATTTCTCATTTTCTATGTTCTTTTTACCTTCTACCTTACTGATTGTTTTGTCTCACTCACCTTTCTACTAGCTTTTTGTTGGTTAGTCATTTAGTATCCTCTGCTCTTTGTGCCTAGAGGGGGCCATGTTTTGGTCTTTGGTCCATGATAGGCTTAAAATAACTTGCAAGGGTCTAGTGTGGATTGAATTGGGTGAAGCTATCCATGTAGCCAACAACAGGGAGCCACCATATTCAGCATATATAATATGTAAGTAGCTATACCAAATCTGGTAATTTTGCTTTTCACTATTGGAATATGATACACGTACTGAATCTCTATTCTGTACCTGATTTCCCCAATGCTAGGAGCAGAATGACCTCGTTGTCTCTCGACTCGTGAGACGTATGCATGTTTCCTGTGGAAGCAGATAGTATCTATTCCTTCCACTTTCTATTTAAGTGCACCTCCATACCATTCCTATTGCGCACATGTCCGTAAATCATTCAGTCTTGTTGCCGTTATCGTGCCTAAATTGCTCACAGTAAGTCAACAGCTATAGTTTTGGTAACTTGAGCCCTATAATGCCATAGAAAATAATATTACGTAGTTCTTCATGCTCGTAACCTAAGAGCTAGTTGTATGTAATACTCTGCTTAAGGCTACAGTCTACTTAAATACTGAACCTGCATCAGTAGTTATCTTTACTTGCAAATATACGCAGTAGGTAAACGATGCTGGATCAACGTTAGCATTGGTCCAACATTACTCTGTTATCATCTGCTTGCTGGGTATGCTCCTTACTAATTACAAATATGTGAATTAGATATTTCTTCAGTGACAGTCATGCAGTTATCTTGAGGCTTTCTGCAAGTTCTGAAGACTGACTTATCTACACATCATTATCAATTTATTATTACTGTACCTATATAATAATAGATATGATTGTTATTATGTATTCATAAACAGTACTGTATTTCAAAATTTAAAGCTTAGTAATGCAAATCACATAGTATAAATAACCAAAAATTTTAAAAGCCTTTGATTAAATATTGTTTTTATATGTATCAAATCAATCTCATTCAGTAACTGTCTTTCATGATGGTAAATTATTTGTTAAATATAAATGTAAAAAACAAATGGAGCTCAAATTTTGTTTTTAATAATCTCACAAATTTTGGCAATGGAGGGTCTCAAAGTACCAAAACAATTCAAAGGTGTCCATGTATATATTAATCTGAAGCAGACAGTTTCTCTCATGTTAAACTTGCCGTCTTACCAAAAAAAAAAAAAAATAAAAAAAGGCCCTTAAATTGGAAGTCCCCTTTGTAAATGAGGTCATCTTACTGTCTGCTTTTGTTACAGTTGCTGGACACCCTGCAAGTGTGCCGCGATTTTAAGTACGGACAGTGTGTGAGACCTGCCTGCAAGTTTGTCCATCTCCTTGAAGGTATGGAGGTGAACTCGAGCCAGTCCTCGTCTTCTAATTTTTTGTTATCACTTTTTCCAGTGTATTGGGGGACACAGCAGTGACCTATGAGGCGCATATCCCTCGTAAGAACTTATTAAGTGGTTGTATTGCTTTTGTGTATATGCTTTTAGTGTCATGATATGATGTAGCTGCTTATAAAAACTACCCAAGATCTTTGTATGTAAGCAAATTTACATCTTCTATGTAATAAATAATAATTATCAACATTTCATTTATACTACATTTCAAGCATAATAATATTTATTGGCAAATAAATATTTAAGCTTAAAGAAATTGAACCCAGTGACTTTAAGATAAATTCAGAGTTGTCATATTTTACCACCAATCATTAGTGTATACAGTAATACCAAATATAAGTGATACAATATCTGGGTAGTTTTAAACATAGAATTAGTAATTTAGATTGAGTTAACATTATGGCATACACTGCTTTATGACATACAATGCTTCCACATGTATATAGCTTTGTAAAATATATTGCTACTATAGTATTGAGTATATTGTGAACCTATTCAGCATATGCAGTTCCTAAATAGTCTAATATGTTTCCTTGATTATCATAGGATAGCTGGTGACAAGTTCCTTCCTTCAGATCACGTAGAGGTGACAGACATGAAGGTGAGTGTCTGTCGCGACGCGGTGAAGGGCAAGTGCGGCCGGGGGCTGTGCAAGTACTACCACCTGCCCGTCGTTCTGCCGCCTGCCCCCCTGGATCCGCACTCCGCCCGCACCCAGTCAGCCCCGCGCCACCATGCTGTCCACAACCCGCCCACCAACTCGCTCATTTTAGACAACGCCCACTACATGGACAACACCACGACGGCACCCCCACCCAACAACAACGATCCGGCCACAACACCTGCTGCAACTTCAACTATTCAAGTCATTGCCAACTTAACAAGTTCTAACAATATCCGTTGCAACTAGCTTAAAGTGGTGAAATACAATCAGAAAAATATATTTGTGTTATCAATACAAGTGAAAATTTTGTTAATTAGCTGGAGGCAAGAAAAAATAATTTCCTATTAATAAATCCACAGAGCAAGTGAGGTGTTGAGTGTTGTTGTTTGGTGACTTGGGCGGGTTTGTGGAGCAAAGGCAGCGCAGGGAGCCCCGGGCCCCCGGAGCGTCTGGTGCTAGCACAGCCATGCTCACATTATGTGATTTGTCAAGTGTGTCCTTACAGTCCCCTCCCATGGGGATGGGTCAACTCCAGCACTCGTGGATATTTTTTCAAAAAACATAACAAAAATAAATTTTCACTTTGTTTTTATCTCTTTTATATAAGGATAAGGTAGGAAAAAGATGCCCTTATAAAGGGCTGAGATTAATTATTTTCTATTATGTACCAATGAAACAGACTCTTGGACTGTTGTGCGTACATGACAAAGTCACGTGCCAGTGAAGCCCCCGACCAGCGACTGGCACTGTAGGGAAGTATTCTCCTCTCCTGACACCTGCCAGGCTGCCCTCTGGCACACTTGATGCCTGGGGCCAGCCAGACACATGGTCTACTCCTTGTCTAGGATAGTTAAGTGTGTACCAGGCAGCTTCTCAGCATAAGTCCCACTACGGTAGTGTTCCTCCTGCAGGCCCCTCTGAGCCGTAGTCAAAGTAAAATAGCTGTACTGTGGATCCACTGAGGTGGGCTGTGGACTCAGAGGCATATACCTAAATAGTTAAGTAATAGTTTCAGCACCTGTTAGGTCTCATGACAAACATAAGTCCCTCTGTTTCTTCTCTGAACGGGTGTCAGCAAGGAGAGTAGTTCCCGTCTTCCTGCCAGTGCGCTGGTCCATTACCTAGGAGAAGATACAGCGAGAAGCTCGACTGAACATAGAGGACTCAGAAATGAGGAACACGAATGAGAGAGGAAGAAGGAAGTAGCCTGAGGAAGGAGCAGATGATGCGAGGTCACTGATGATGAAGACCGAAGCCAGAAGGAATCTCTTACTGCAAATATTTTATCAAGTTTTTGGCCTGTTTTACACGAATTGGTTTCTAGTCATTTACCCTTTGTTTTATTTCCTTTTATGCCATGACTAGCTCGGTGAATTTAAGGGGCTGTGAGAACTTAGTACAGTATGTCTGGTTTTATATGAAACTGTATTATGCAAAGCCGTATATGTATGTTGTAGTACTTGTAATGGATAAATTTTTCATAGTTCCTTGTGTTATTTTTACATATATGAAACTTAAATGTTTTATTACATGTAAAGTGCCACGATTTTAATGTTCCTGTAATTGACGCATTTAGGAATCAAAGAGAGGGTATATGGGAGGGTCGAAGGCACTGCTTGCGGAAGTCCCGGCTTTAGAAGTCACCGTTTGGCAATATAGTCTGTCCGGGTGGCCTGTTTGTACTTCTTATATATAGATAATTTAAAGCACGAATATGGTTTGTCAAAATGTCAGTTATACTTTTAATATTATATTTCAGGCACAATACATAAATTGCAAAGAATTTGGCTACCAACACAATGCATATAAAATATCAAACATATCAAAGTATTCAACATATAATGGGATATTTGAATAATTTCAAGATATTGTTATTGCATATGTGAAACACTATTTAAAATACCGATATGCACAGTTCCATTTGTAAATAATGCTAAAAATTGGAGATAGATATAATGTCTAACGAGTTTGTTGGTTACTCTTACCGACATTATCAACATTTACTTTACCGAATTTGCAAATATTGAATAATTTAAACAACTCTAGATAAATTATCAAGTTATTTATTTGGTACTAAAGTTTAAACTAAGATGCCCAGTAAAGTGAAGTGTCCATGACAAAGGCCCCCCGGACACGCATGCTCTCTCGCTAGTTCACTTGTTCCGTCAGGCTCAGTCAGGTGGCAGGGATGCCCCTCCTCCCAGAATGATAGGTACTTACTGTTCACCAGACCACTTCCTCCGTCATATCCTCCATCATTACACCATCAGCAGTGCTCAGTCAAGTACACACGACCAGTAGTACTGAGTCCAGTACACACACAAACACATTACTAGGTGAGTAACACTTATGCTCTCACACTCATGCACATATGTACTAGTTGAGTACACACACATGCATGTGCACACACATGCATGCACACACACGCAAGCACACACACGCAAGCACACAAACATGCACGCATGCATGCACACACACACACACACACAAACACACACAAAACCTAGCAGGTCCCTCGCAATAGTCCCATAACCCATCAGAATTGCCATCCATGCACAGCCATAGTTTACAAGATCTCCCAACCTCACCTGTGCCACCGGCTGAAGCCTACTACACAGTTAATGTCGGTCTCCACCAGCACGCTTGCTGTAATTTAGGATCTAACTTCAGCCATGTGATAAGAGGAGCTGTAGGTGGTGCCGCGCTGGGTTCCTCCTGACTGCAGGGGGATACCACTTGGCGTAGGGGCACACCTCAAGTCACGCTCACAATCCGGCCATGCAGGGTACAACTTGGACCCTAGAGTTGCGCTTGCTTCACAGTCAAATGTAGGGGCTTTTTCTTCAGAGTGCATCATCCAAACTGCAGGCTTCATGATGTCACTGCTTCCCAATCCCTAGCGGCTCCTGGCTAGAACTGGAAAAACTTTGTGATTTCGGCATGTTCCATGTCGCACAGAACACCAGTAGCTGGTTAACATGGGTGAGCCACGGCAGCCTGCTAGGGTTGTTCCTGACAGGACCTTGCACAGCAGAAGACAAGGTGTAGAGAGGAGAGCTGTGCTGGGTCCTGCCTTGCCACTGCCTGCCCTTTTCCTCACCTCCATGTGCTGGTAATATGCCTGAGGACAACTTAAGCTGTTCAAACTGCCAAGAGGTGGCAACTAAGGGCAGGGAATGGCATCTGCATGTAACCAGTTATCTAGTGGGTAGTCCACGTAGGTCCCCTAGCACCCTAGCTTCAATTGTAGTGTGTAGGCTTGGGGCACATGTCCCCGCACACTTGCATGTTAGCACCTTGCTTACCAGGTTTAACTGTATCAATGTGAATAGATCTCCTGTAACCTATAAATGATGCTCCTATATTCTGTATGTTAGAGCCGCGCCCTCCTGATGGCGAAGGGTTGCCTGCTGCCGCCCCAGCCGCCCGCCCGCGCGTCCGCACTGCCTGGCGACCCCAACCCATCCCCGGATCTGGTTACCTGACCAGGATACCCACTATGGCACAACCTTCTGCACATTGTTATTTCTTATTGATTCACACTTACATTTATAGTCAAGATAGACATATTTATCAAATTTACTTCATCTGATCAAAGCCACAGTGAGTTCCGGGCATGGAGGGCAGTAGAATTTTACGAGGATGTCCTCACGAAGTCAAATCAAAACTGAGCGCCATATGTATCTGTGTAAGTTTTCTCCACAATCCTGCTGCCCTTCGTGAGGGCCCTCCACGTAAGATCTGTTCCTTGTGATCCTGTTGGCCTTCCCCAGCCACAGCGATGTATTGACAGTTGGGCATGAGTCGCATGACCCTCGGTTACTGTAAGGTCCATTATAATATGAAGTAATAGTAATATTAATCATAATTATAATCACGATAATCATATAGCCAGTCTGATGACAACTCAGTGGCTGCAGCCTGGACTTCGCTCGGGCCCCGCCAGTTGTTAAAAATAACAGCGATGCCTCAGTGGAGTGGAGGTGGCCGCCATAACTCCTGCCGGTGATAGCGGACCGTCTTCCCATGTCACTGGCCAGGCAATGCATGCTCCTAGTGTCTATTTTATTTTTACTTGAGAATATTTGTACACTGTAATGAACTAAGCCAGTTTTTGAGAAATTATCGTGTTTCCAATCGTCCCCACCTTTGTCAGGGTTGAAATCTCAATGTAGAGAAACACATTTCCATTGTTATTTTTATATTTTATCAATGCTTCCTGTTCATTGCTCGTTTAGCAGTTCATTTATGCTGGCTTGGTTTTAAAAGTCACAAATTAAGTGAGTTTTATACTTATACATGTTTGTTTCTAATTTAATTTCTATGAATGCTACTCCAAATGTTTAAATAAATGATTTTGATATTTTACTAATGGTATGCTAGCCAGTGTTCTGGCATATGCTGGAACTGTGTAGTAAAAGTGTGGGATGAAGGTCCCCAACATTTTGTGATATTTTCTTATTGTTATTTAAGTCGATTTCTCTGTTTTCCTGTGACTACTGACGTTGTTATGTTACTTGTTAGGTTAAGGTTGCCGCGCGAAGGGAGAGCTCTCTGGTGAGCGCTGCTGCACAGTGGCCAAACGCCCGCAAACTCGATATCAGCTCCAGCCATATGCTCACAAGCTCATTACTGACCCTCAGCATTATTGTTCACTTCCCTGTCATCTGTGGGATTTAAAAGGAGTCTTCAGATTCCTGTTTAAAATGTTAAGTCTTCATTGATGTTCTGAGTGTTGTCCTGTGTTTGTTCTTACACAAACTTTAAAGCCACGTCCTCTTTTCTGGTTACACTAGGGACCAGGGCGTTGGCCTTGAGTCGTGGGCGGCCTCGCCAGGGGCCTCGAGCATCCCCACGTGCCCTACACAAGCACGAGGGGAAGGGCGCCGGCTTTAAACACCAGAGGAGGGCATTCTGAGGTCTTGTCCAGAACCACTATTATGTTTTCATTCACAGCCCACTGCAGGCTATAGCATTGGAAATCAAATTCAGAAAGATAATGGAGTCTCTGTGGTATTACTGGGTACTGTACCTGTTTGGTATTACCAAGAAATACTCATACTAGACCACAAATTATATTTGCCAATAAAGGGAAAAAGAAAAAGAGGTAGTGTATAATGGCAGCAAGTGACAGCATTACCATAGAGGCAGCATTGATCAAAAAAGTAATAGAGGGTGTACAAGATCCCGGGCCAGCCCTCCACAGCCACCCCATAGTGCGGCCGCGGGCCCAGAGTGTGACCCAAGTTAGCATCCCCTTTTATACGAAGAAGAAGCCCATGGAGGTAAAACAAGGCGGATCTGTGACCTCTTTCAAGATATTGGTAGACAACAGCCAGTAGCCTCTTCTATTGGGCACCCTTGTATCAAATTGTAACGTTTTATCCAATTGTACTAACACTCTACAGGAACAGTGCATTGATACAATCATGCCTCAATTATAGACTACTCATTAAACATAAGAAATTTTATCCAGCCAATTGTATATCACTAATATGTTAAATGCCAGTTAAGTGAAGAACCGTTGTGCATATCCAAGTTGTATGTTATTTGTACTATTGTGTATGAGTGAAGTCTGAATTATTACTACTTTTAGGTGATAATATCTTGGAAGGTGGTGGGGGTGGGGAGCAGGGCATCTCAGAGCTGCAAAAACCGTGGCTCTAAGATGCTCACAGTACCACAGTGCCAACATCTCACACCAGCATATCAGTCGTAGCACTGCACACATGCTTACTGGCTCATCAGCATTCAAATTTTTACTCTTGTAAACCAAATACAAAATTCAAAACCCCTAAAAATGATAAATGATTTCCTGGCTCTAATCTCCTATTATATAATGACAAGGGCTATACAAATAATTAAAGTCTACATGTGGGCACCCATTGGACCAGTAGGCATGCAGGCAGTTGGCTACCTTCAGGCCTGCCTTCCACTCGTCCGTCAAGCACCACCACCACCACCTGAGCGCTCTTGGCACTCACCGCTGCTAAACCACTGCGTTTCATATTATCGTATTTTCGTGGATATAGAGAAATATCAAAGCATTTTACATAATGGGATAATAGGAACAAAGGCTCAGTGGGATATTCTTAATGTGAAAGTTTTTATTTTACTAAATATACATGATGAAACACGTGGAGTTAATATGGAAAATATTTTTGGTATGTGTTTGTGGAAATAATAATTTAAGATTTAATTGTATAATAGTGATAAGAATTTATAATAGTTACTGTATGAGCATATAATGAAGAGAAAAAGGAAAACATATTATGCACCTGGTTTTAGAGATAATGGAAGAACAGATGGGCAAGTGGCAGTGGTGATGCTGCTGTTGATGAGCTCAGTGGTGAGAGTGAAGGGTTGCCATTGGCAGCTTGCTGGTGGCAGTGGTGGGCTGCTGTTGGCAGCTTGGTGGGGGGACAACATTCCAGAGCCAGCATAATACCCCACCCCCCTCACCCGGGTCACAGTCATAACAAAGTGTAGCGTAATAAAGCTCAAACAAAAATGGAAATGATCTTTTATTGCAAATTAACCCTGTGTTTGAATAAATATTGAGGCTGTACAATGGAATCAAACTCTCATCCTTGAACTATTCAGGCAGAAGCGCTAAAGACTGAACAATGACGGGTTAAAAGTATCAGAATCAAGTCAGTAGTAAATTTAGGGATATAGGTTCGATTCCATTGTACAGTCTCAATATTTATCCATAGATTCATCAAGCTCATGTGATTTCATCACATTCAAAAATACTTAAGACAAATATAAGGGAAACGAAAAACTAAAGATTGGACGATTAGATGCCCACTACAATATATATTTTACCTTGTTGAAGGGGGTTACTATGGTAACTCTCCATCTTCCAGAGAGCAGCTGCAGGCAGTCTACTTCAAACATTGCTAATGCATTTCAGCTTAACCAGTTCTTGAAACTATTTGTCTGAGAATTCCTCATCCTATTTATTCATGATAAACATAAAGCAGTCACCCCATAAAATGGGGAACACAAAATGTGTTGAACCCATTGAAACAACACACTGGACACTGTCCAATGTGTTGGACATTCAAAACTGTCCTCAGCGAGGATATACAAATACAAAGACTACACCTCAGTTAGGACTATGCCAGTGGTAAATTAGCCCTTTAAAAGTATATCCTTGCCCTCAGCAAGGATATACCAGTAACTGACTGTTCTCAGTGAGGATATACCACTGACAGACTGCATTTAGTGAAGATATATCACTGACAAAGAATGCCCTCAGTGAAGATATATCACTGAGCAAGAAAACCCTTAGTGAGAACTAACTAGTGACAAAGGAATTACCAGCAAGAAAGTACTGCAAGTTCCTGCCCGAAACGCTGCACGTACTAGTGGCTTTACAAGAATGTAATTACTATGTTATGTATCCTCACAATCCCAATGTACCTTCTTGTATATATTTAAATAAATAAATAAATAAATAAATACTGCCTTCGGTAAGGATATACAAGTGATAAAGGACTGCCCTAGTGAGGATGTACCAGTGACAAAGGATTGGACTCAATGAGGGATATACCTGCAACAGTATTGCCCTCAATGAGAATATACCTGTGACAAAGGATTGCCCACAATAAGGATATACCTGTAACAAAGGATTGCCCACAATAAGGATATACCTGTAACAAAGGATTGCCCTCAATAAGGATATACCTGTGACAAAGGATTGCCCACAATGAGGATATACCTGTGACAAAGGATTGCCCTCAATGAGGATATACCTGTGACAAAGGATTGCCCTCAATGAGGATATACCTGTAACAAAGGATTGCCCTCAATAAGGATATACCTGTGACAAAGGATTGCCCTCAATAAGGACCAATAGACTGTCTATTCTTTCAAATACCTTGGTGTGTCTGTCCCTTGTACCTCAACTGCAGTCAATAAGTTACATCAACAATGTAGACAGACTCAAGGCTCTCAGAACTGTAGTGGGGTACAGCCCTAAATACGGTGTTAATATTAGAATAGCAAAAATGATGTACTTAGCATATATAAGGTCTCTGATGGACTATCATGTACCAGCTTTAGTCCTGCAAAATGGCAAAAGTATTAAATAAAAATAAAATAAAATTAAATAAAATAAAATGTTTATTTAGGTAAGGTACATACATACAATAAAGTTTTACAAAGATTGGTTGACTTATAGGTAGAGCTAGTACATACAATGCCTAAAGCCACTATTACGCAAAGCGTTTCGGGCATGATAAACTTAAATGACAAGCTTAATACTAATTAAGCATAATGAGTAGAATGAAAACATAGATGAAAAAGCAGCACAAATACAATTATGTCGACAAACAGCGCTCTCTAAAAAAAAAACAGACATTGGTTGACAATAGAAGGGTAAGGTAGGTTACAGGGAATTTATTAGGTATAGCTTCGTTTTTAACTTAAACTGGTTGAGAGAGGTACAGTCTTTAACATGGTTGGGAAGGTCATTCCACATTCTGGGCCCCTTGATTTGTAGAGCATTTCTAGTTTGATTAAGTCGTACTCTAGGAATATCAAAACTGTATTTATTTCTGGTGTGGTGCTCATGGGTTCTGTTACTTCCTTCTATGAAGCTTTTGAGATCAGGATTGGCATTATAGTTTAGTGTTTTATATATGTATAATACACATGAGAGAATGTGCAGTGACTTAATGTCTAACATATTCAGAGATTTGAGTAGGGGTACCGAGTGATGCCTGGGGCCAGAGTTGGATATTGTCCTAATAGCAGCTTTGTGTTGAGTAATTAGAGGACATAAGTGATTTTGGGTAGTAGAGCCCCAAGCACAAATACCATAGTTGAGATATGGATAGATATGGGAGTAATAGAGAGTCACCAGGGCAGGGCGTGGTACATAATATCTGATCTTAGAAAGAATGCCCACAGTTTTTGAAACTTTTTTTGATATATTTAGAATGTGTCCCTGGAAATTCAGCTTGTGGTCAATGAGAATGCCAAGGAATTTGCCATCTAATTTGTTACAAATTTGGGTATTGTTTATTTTGAGATTTATTTGATTAGAGGATTTATTGCCAAACAGAATATAGAAAGTTTTGTCAATGTTAAGGGTGAGTTTGTTGGCAGTTAGCCAAAGATGGACTTTATTTAGCTCAGTATTTACTGTGGCATTTAGAGCAAGGGGGTCAGGACTGGAGTAAATGAAGGTTGTGTCGTCAGCAAATAGAATTGGTTTGAGGTGTTGGGAGGCATTTGGAAGGTCATTAATGTAGATGAGAAAGAGGAGAGGGCCAAGTATGCTGCCCTGAGGAACACCAATGCTGATGGGTAGGGTGGGAGAAATTGTATTATTCACAGAAACATATTGGAGCCTGTCAGTAAGGTAGGATTTGAAGTATTGTAGGGAGTGTCCTCTGACTCCATAATGATGTAATTTAAGAAGAAGGTTTTACTGGTTTACTAGAAGGTTTATTGATAGTCTAGAAAAAATGCAAAATGAAGCACTCAGAATTATACATGGCTGTCCTACAACTACCAAAGTTCTCAACATGCAGAAAGAATTAAATATACTTAGCATTCGAGATAGAATATTTGAAATTAATCTTATGATGGGACTAAAGCTGCGACAAAATAACAAAAACAACATTGTGTCCGGTCCATAGAATTACCCAAATCAGCCCAAATCGGCCCAAAACTACACAAATCGTCCTAGCATTACGTAAGTAATGAAGAAATATGGTATATTTACTTACTATAATGTTGGTGCTACACGTAGAACATGATCAAACCTATTTTTACTCTGAAATAATCTAATTTCATAACGAAATGAGGCGTAAATATGTGAGAGGTGACGCCATAGGAAGTCGACGGTCCAAGCGACAATTGTGTGGAGGGACTTATCCAAGATATATGGTCGCCTGGAGAGTGTTTGCTGCCATATCAGCCTCCTGTACACAGTGATCCAGTCCTTTTCGTTCATTGAACACCGAACCCTACATTCCCTCTGATATATTGCTTAATTAACAAATATTCACAAATAAAGATTATATTTGTATATGTTATCAGAAAGGCAGATATAAAATAGTTTTTGTGAATCCATCACAGAGATTATACCTTATTAGAGAGGAAAAATATTCATACTTTAAACAAGGCTTCTTGGCCGACGCTCTCCTTACCGATATGGGAACTATGACCTTCCGAAGATCAATGTTAATTTAATCTAAATATTGTAATAAACGAAGTTTTCTATGTCATCATAAAGACATAAATATAAGCTGCATGTTAATACTTTGGCATAAATATAACTGAAGTGAAAGTGAAGATATATGCCTTTTTATAGTTACTTGATGGCTTGCTCAGGGAGTGTGAAGGCCTCCACACAAGCCAATCAATTTTATAATTACTTTGCATATATGCAAAGTAACGCCATAGGTCTTTATGTCAGAATAAAGACATGTAGACGATAATGTAACTACATTTCAAGGAAAACATATCTTAATATAATTATTAAATGAATGCAAAGTTATGGGTAAATAAAAGCCAATACCACACAATCGCCGGTGTCCGGACACATGAATAGTCGCATTAGGTGAAAGGAAATGTACCCAACCATTTCCATTTACCCAACCAGTTTGTGCACCCTATACTCATCCTCTGTGCGGTAATTTATTGTGCACCCCATACTCATCTTGTTACCAGTAGTTTGTGCAACCCATACTCATCCTGTGACCCGTAATTTATTGTGCATCCCATACGTACTCATCCTGTTACTTACCAAAAACCATGCGATTTTCGCAGCTGGCGGGCAAAAATCGCGATTTTCGCCGCTACCGGCCAAAAATAGCGCGATTTTTGGCCGGTAGCAGTCTCCGTGGTGTAGTGGTAAGACACTCGCCTGGCGTTCCGCGAGCGCTATGTCATGGGTTCGTATCCTGGCCGGGAAGGATTTACTGGGCGCAATTCCTTAACTGTAGCCTCTGTTTAACGCAACAGTAAAATGTGTACTTGGATGAAAAAACGATTCTTCGCAGCAGGGGATCGTATTCCAGGGACCATAGGATTAAGGACTTGCCCGAAACGCTACGCGTACTAGTGGCTGTACAAGAATGTAACAACTCTTGTATATATCTCAAAAAAAAAAAAAAAAAAAAAAAAAAAAAAAAAATTCGCCGCTAGCGGCCAAAAACCGTGCGATTTTCGCCGCTAGCGGCCAAAAATCATGCAAATTTCGCCGCTAGCGGCCAAAAATCAGATTCAGATTCAGATTCAGATGTTTATTCAGGTAAGGTATATACATACAAGTGATGTTACATTAATGGATTGATATATAGATAGAGCTAGTACATACAATGCCTAAAGCCACTATTACGCAATGCGTTTCGGGCAAGAAAAACATAAATATCTAGAACTTAATACTAATTGAGCATAAAGAATAAAAAGTGTTGAGAACAAATACAAATAAAGATAAAAAAAGGGGGAACATGACTGAAAAAGCAGCACAAATACAATAGGTTGACAAACAGTGTT